CAAATGTTAAGATGACCATATTAGCCTCACGTAACTTAATAAATAAAATAAACAAATTTCGTTATGACGCAATTTAATAAACTGGCGCCAATAAAGCTCATGTATCACATTAAAATTTATAACATAAAATATAAGGACTCTAAACATAAATATAAAAAATAGGCTTTAAGTATTAAAATTATAATATTGTCTATAATATTTAATTACATAACTAACTAATACTATTAAATTATAATATCCTCCAGACCTAATTTTGGTTACGGCGGTCAGTCTCAACGGAGACAAGATTATAGTGCCCGAGTACCAAGCACTGGTGTACTCTCTATTCTCTCACTTACATAGTCCGATGGGACGGCAAACCGACAACACCAAAGGGATCAGGTGCAGAATCAACAACTTTACGTGCTTTCCATGGCACGGGCGTGAAACACAGCCGACTTTTTGACTCTGGGGTGCTACTGAGAATTTCCTGACAGAAAAACTGAATATCTGATTTTGGCCCAACCCGGGATTTAAACCCCTCACGATCAGCTACCGCGTTTAGAACCAGTAGACCAATGTCGCAGTCTCTTTTTAAGTAAATATGAAACTCCATGACGGGAACTCAATTAACAACGAATGCGCAAGCACCTATGGCAAGAAGAAATTCTGCTAGTGTCCGAAGAACAGAGTTCCACCGAACTTGCTGGAGCCCAATCATAAATCGACATCATTAGCAAATGAACCTTTATGGCTAGATTCATTTGTTTAGGACGGAGAAACTGGCCTTGTTAACAAAAATCAAATACTAGACTGAAGCCAATATTGGTCTTGTTTTATTTAATTTTCGATTTTTTATACAAAATTAAAAATCTACACAAACATTTTGTATATAACGATCAACTGAAATAATATATATGACTATTGTGATTTATCTATACAAGCTGTCCCAGACGTCGACGTCAAGCCGGAATAGAATGATAGCTCTTGTCATTATAGTTAACAGAAAAATATAAAAAAATCTTTGCCAAATATTTTAAAATTTACAGGCATTTATAAAAAATCGAGACAAACCTGTTTACTTAAGATTCTAGTTTAAGTGAAACGGAGGGATTTCCCCCAAATTTGATGAGAGAAGACCGATCACAGTATCGCTTTAAGATTAACCTTTGAACCGCAATTTTGAATGGACTAATAATCAGTCCTTTTGAGCTGCCAAATATTTTGACTAGTGGAGTGTATTTGGATTTCTTACAATATCATTTGCTAAATTTATTGGAGGATGTGCCACTAAGTATCCACAGAGACATGTGGTTCCAACAAGACGGTTGCCCAGAGCACTACGCCCGCACAGTGAGAGAATATTTCGATGAAGAATACCCATACAGATGGATGTCGATGACGACGACCCAAAACAGGGCGGTCTGGTACAATCTTGTGGCCAGCACGTTCACCTGATTTAAATTCATAACGTACATAAACACTCACGCCTGTCACCCAGAGGGGTAGGCAGAGACTACAGACTTCCATTTAGCACGATCCATACTCAGACATACCTCTCTCGCCTCTTCCACATCCATATATCTACGCATACATGCTCGTCGGTTAAGGGTACTCTTAATTTGGCCCATTTTTAGTATATCGCCAATATGGTCGACAAACTTTCGCCTAGGACGTCCCTTTCCGATTCTTCCATTCACTTCTGTAACATATATTTGCTTTGTCAGTCTTTCCGCATTCATTCTTTCTATATGATCAAACCACCGAAGCATTCCTTTCTTAATCATGGTCACCGCATCATCTTGCAAACCGCACTCTTCTTTTAAATTTATTAGATTTTTTTACTGAGAAGCCGTCAAATGAAAAGTTTATTTAAAATGGATTGAAAATGTAGCTGAGCTACGGCAAGACTAACGGAAGTTGCTGAATTTGTAAATAATGGTATTCACTCGTCTAATAACCCAATCCCATCAGTCGATTTTTAACAAGATGCCGAGCGTGCATAGCGAGTGAAGGATGGCAGTTTAAGCATTTGCATTGTAAATGTTCCATCCTTGATTTTTAATTAAGGCATTTTGTTTGTTTAATTTAAGACATTTTGTGAGTTTAATAAATTTTTGCATTCAAATAATTGATGTATAATTTGTTAACTTAAAACTTTTCTAATAAAAGAAAATTAAACCTAATTTTAAAGAAAATACAATGAGTTAACATTACTATGGCTCGTGGTGATTTTAATCTACCTGAAAAAAGGATCTGTCTCGCTCACACTTCATCAACTGGTTCCCTCCGTTTCACTCAAACTTAAGTAACAGGCTTGTGGAAAGCCTTGGAGTATACAAAAATAATTTTAGACAGGTAAGGAAAATTAACTATTTCACTGTCCGGTTTTCAGACACAATAGTAAGACAATAGCAATGGTCATAGCAGTGCATGGGACAGCGAAAGGGTTAATTTACAACTAAGTTTCTTTAAAAAAATGTTTCTCGTAATTAAACAAATAATCTTGTGTTACACTGATTTGGAATCCTCATTAAATACGCTAACTAAAACGCTAAACTTTTAAAGTTACTTGTCAAACTCGTGCAGTTTTTTTTCAGTATAGTCATTTAAAACTGAGCAAGTATTAATTTTGAATACTTGGTTAGGAAAAAAATTACAATTCCTTCTTGACTGGAGCAGTTGGCTGTAAATTTTACAACAGTTTTCAGAAGCATTATTCAAAATTACATAATAAAATAAAATTTAAAAAGTTAAAATTGGTAGCAATAGGAATTAAAAGACCGTCACAGGTTGTAGATTTTCTCGATATTTTCATAAGTCTATAATTTTTAAAATACATTTATAACCTGACCTATCACCCGATTCCGGCTTTGCGTCGACTTCTGGGACAACATGTATGTGACCCTGGTCAAGGAAGAGTACAAGGCAATTAGTAACAATGTCAAGCATTGCCCAAAGACAGTGCCAGTATTAGTCCATGCATAGTACCATCACATTCTATGGTGATTATTCAAAGGCAAGGTACTGTTATCATTGCTCAAAATGGATTGATTGTGTTTGCCAATGGGTACACGCCGCTAATTGCCTCTGGGGTTGGGATGTACCTGGCTGACCTTGAGAATTTCAAAGATGCAAAACATGTAAAACATCTAGCCATCAAGATACCTTGGTAGGATAACCGGACACTGGTAAGGCTAGGGATTATTGCATTCTAGGAGCATAACCCCGCCTTCAGCCTCCACGTGTATTGAAGGACTTCGCTCATTCACGTGAGCGAGAATAAAAATAATAATCTTTATTTCTCCTCTACAAACAATCAAAACATTTACTACATCTAAATTAAAAAAAAAACAAATGCTACAGTTATTAGAATGAAGACTAACAAAAGACTATGGAGTTGGATGCACCTGAATCATCAAATTCTCAGAGCATCCGACGATAAAGACATAGCCCCACCCGTCAAAGAGGAGAACAGTCCGTCCAATCGTTCATTCGTTAGGATGAATACCGGCAGTTCCCATAAGCAAAAACCATGGTCCCGCTCCGTTTCGCGAATACCATAAAGTGCTAATTTACACAGAACTGTCACCAGCTTTCTTGCAGATCGGAGCATCAAGGTCGTTATAGACGGTGCATGCTCTGATTTCCCTATGCCTATGCCTAAGCCTATGCTGGTGTTCCACAAGACTGCATGCTATCACCAACGCTCTTTCTTCTGCATATCCATGATATATTGCAAACCGGTAACATTCATTGCTATGCGGATGATAGCACCGGTGATGCTTTATACAACCAATATTGCCAATAGTGCCAATATTTCTCGGGAAAACGTCGCTAAATACCGGGATAAACTTGTGTCTGAAGTCGAGACTTTGTTGAACAAAGTTTCGGACTGGGGGCAACTAAATCTAATCCAATTCAATCCCCAAAAGACACAAGTTTGCGCGTTTACCGCTAAAAAGAACCTCTTTGTCGTATCTCCTCAGTTTCAAGGCGCTCCCCTTGTGTCCCTCAGCCAGTATCGAAATTCTCGGCGTCGACATATCGAGTGACGTGCAGTTTCGTGGTCACTTGGAAGAGAAGGCCAAATTGGCCGCTTGCTGCTTGGCGTGCTCAGCAGAGTGGGACAGTATTTAATGCCGGCACACCGTCTGTAACTTTACAAGGCGTAGGTTCGGCCTCACACGGAATACTGTTTCCATCTCTGGGCTGGGGCTCCTCAGTGCCAGCTCCTTCTACTTGACCGCATCCAGCGCAGAGCGGCTCGAATCGTCGACGACCGAGTACTTTCACTGGCGCTGTGAAGAGATGTTGCATCCAGTTGCATTTTCTTTCGCATCTACCACAGGGAGTGCTCTGATAAATTGTTCGGACAATTCCCAGCCGCCAGATTTCATGAAATCACATTGTGGCAAAACTGCCAATACCATTCACAACCACCATCTGAATGCCTGACGGTCCACCACTGTACGTTTCACTAGGAGTTTTTTCCCTCGTACGACCTCTCTCTGTGGAATAGTTTACCACCGGCGATTTTTGTGTACCGATACGACTTAGGGACCTTCAAGAAAAGAACTTACTCCTTTCTAAAAGAACGGTAACGCGCCTTTGTTGTTCGTGGGCGGCGGTAATCACTTACCATCATGTAAGCCGTATGCTCGTTTACCGTTTCTGTTTCTCGTTTACGTTTTTCTTCTATAAAAATAAACTTATAGTCCGTACAGATAAAGAATACGATTATAAATGGCGGCTCATCGAGCCTGTACCGACAACATGCACAGTACTAATAGCAAAAAATCCTCTAATAACGTTATATCGTTATAACGTTGTATTATTCGGTTAGATATAAGTAGAGGTTATAAAGATTTTATATAGAGATAACCTCTAGGTATATATAAGTACTACTTTTGTTTTCTTACAAAATAAGTGGTAAATATATTTAGGTGATATCGTACATTTTCTGTGTTCGTCATTATGGGAATCTTGGCATGCCAACATACTATGTAACTAATTTAATATCAACTACTAAGTCTATTGGTAGCATCGGAATCTGTGATTTCTCCATTAGTTCTTGAAGAACTTTCAGCAGGTTCTTGTTCTTGCCTTCGGCGTTTAATTATTTCCTCATCCTTAGCCTTCAAACGTTTTTCAAGTTTTGTCCAAATGTCCATTGACTTTTCCTCCTTAGCTTTGACACGCTCCATATAACTTTGAGTTAATTTGTTTGCATATTCTGAAGGTACAAACGTAGCGGCAACTGTTTGATTAGCAGCAGTCTTGTAAGATGTGTTAGCTGGAGTTTTCGGCTTGACTTTCTCCTTCTTTTTGAAGGTCACAGGACCTAAATACAATGCTGACCCTGGTGGTGACGGTTTTTCATCCTTGTTTAACCAATTATATACCTTTGCAACAGATTCCTCTACTTCGTGGTTGATATTACTATTTTTGGTATCTAAAACCACATTTTCAATGCTTCCTTTCGAAAATGAAGATGTACTTGATGTAGACTTTTTCTGGCCATTTTGGAAGGCTTTATCATTCAACGGCTCAGTAGGGCAAGGCTTTTCAAAATATGCAGGTGTAATTAACTTAGGAGATTTATCATCTAATACAGAAGCACTTGAATGAATTTTCAAAAGCGTTGAAATTGCTAAATTTCTTTCTCTTTTAATTTTCAGGCAATCTGACTTAGAAGGACTAGATATTTTATTTTTCAGCTTTTGACTAATTTCTTTAAGTTTAACAGGATCATTTTTTTCAGTTATATTTTCTTTTGAACCAGATACTTCAAGTTTCTTTATTTTATTATTATAATTACAATTTAATTCGTCAATTTCATTTGCATGCGTCTCTACCTTAATACTTTCTGTACTTATGCTATTCTTTGGAACGAATTCTGGTACGTCAGGATTTAATTTACTTATTGCAATTGTAGTACAGGTATTATCTTGAAAACTGGTTTTGTTGTTTTCATCACTGTCAGAACGTTGGTACTTGTCAACCTGTAAATACAAATAATAAATAAATAGACCAGAAATATTTGTTTATTATTTTATAATAAAATGCGATGTTCGTGTAACAAAGGCAGCATGTGAACTTATTCTCCAAGCCTCCACTTAATCTAAAGATGTTACAAATGATTGATAAACGAGGCTTTGGCAACCAACTGCTGGTGAAAAACTCATTCAAAATGGCTGAACCCAAATTTCACAGATATAAAGAGCAACATAACAGTGTGAGGATAATAACTACGCGCTCACAAACTCGCTTGCCCCGAGTGGCTCGTATGGGCAACATTCTAAATAATGTGAGGATGTCTCGAGCATTCTAGGCCTAACGACAGGAGAATTTATGAAGTCGTTAAAGTAATAGTAGTAATAGTCGTTAAAGTAAATAAAATAGAATGGAATATTTTTTAATCCATATAGATTACATGTAATTCTTATTAAGTCATTTTTTTACTTTACCTCTGGTTCGGAAAACCCTGGGAAGAACCAGCACAAAACCCAGCGGAACATTTTTTAAAGTAAATTATACAATATGAAAGGTTGCATAAACTATTTACAAAATGCATTTTAGAAACAGTTTGGAAGCGACTACCTCATTCCCAGGGGTATTATTAACCTTGTATTCATTTATACTATAATTTATTATACGTGGTAGATCCATAGTGCAGTTATATTAGTAGTATAGTTGTAGCACGAATGGGTCGGCTCGACCGGGGGAGGACCACGCTCTCACAGAATACCAGCGTAATATAATAACTTAATGCTGCTGTGTTTCGTATGGTGGGTGTAGAGAACCGGAGACCCTTTTTACTGGAAACGAGGCGTTTCATCTTAGTCCTCACGGGTGACAACGCGTCAGCATTTTGATTTGTATTCGAGGATAGATGTAGAAGTCTATGGGCCTCAGCAACCACTTACCACCAGGTGAACTGTGTGCTCTTTTGTCACACTATCCTATATAAAAAAGAATATTCTACAGTAAATACCTTAGGCAATTATTCATCATCACTGTGCATACCAAAGGTCTGTTAATTGTTTTATTTATTATTCGAATTGAAGATTGCATTTCCAGAAGACTTCTTTTATTATAAGTCAGAACTTGTGATGCAACGAATACTACTTTTACGAATACGAATATAGTTTATCACCCTATCCTATAAAAAAAACCTTTTTATGAAGTAAAAAAAAAACTTTAATAAGAGACTTTTATATTTTCTGTCTTTTTGTAATGCCTTATACATTCCCCAAGAATTAATTATTGACTCTGTGGAGTCGAGAAACTGGTATCCACCAGCTTATGTTTGTTCCTAGTATTTATAATGTGTATATCACATTTTTACTAAAACTACTTTTGTTTTTGTGACTTTAAATTTTCGTAAATATACTGAGGCAAAAGTTATTATTTCTTTAAATTTATTCTCTGACAGATTCTCTCGGTTTTAGGTTGTAAATTGCTCTTTTGGCCTTATTATGCAAAACAAAAATGCATAGTTTCTCAATCAGCTGCATTTTACCATAGTGATATATGTGAAACACATACCTATAAACATTATAGGAAATTATATGTTCGGGTATATTAAAATATTGAGTCAAGGAAGGGCAGCACTGGATTCGTCTTTAGTTTTAATTCCAGCGAATACCTGTGTAGTATAAATAGCAAAATGATTGCTTTTTTTGAATCTGGACATATTGTCTTTGTCACTGACATTTCATCATGTTTTCACCAAATTAAACAAAAAATCTACCATGTATAGAATGAATGACCTTAAAGCTGCTTCTTTCCTTGTATATGAGAGCTTGTTTACCATGTAGAGGTAGGGTTAGAATATTCAAACCTATATAATCTAGCCCATATCATCTCGTGGGTGTTGTAGGAGGTGACAGAGGGAAACAAATCTGGAGATGGCCAGCAGTGTACTAATAACGCTTGCCAAGCGTGACAACTATGGCCAAAATCCCCCCTATGAGACAATTTATGGGGGAGGCCTGTGTTTAGCAGTGAACTTTAATAAGCTGTAACGGTAACTTTAACCGTTACTACGTTTGGGGCGTTACTGCACAACGGGCATTTGCAAAATTAGATATTTATGACTGTATTAATTAATCATTTGCAACCAATTAATCCTGGCAGCAACTGGATGCGTGAAGCCGAAGATCGGGCTAAGTGGCTCACCTTGGGACAGGCTTATGTCCTTGAAATTTCAATCGCGCCAAATTACGGCTTTTCTATAAATAGCGGTACCTATAACCATCTCATTTACAGAACCGTCGAAGATTTGCTGACTTGACTGAATTGATGTCATTAGTACCAAACGGTAAGCCGTTTGGTGAAAATAACGTCAATGCGCCTGAAGCGTAACAATTAAGATAAATCCTCCGTTAGTTAGCTGTAGACGTCTAGGAGTTGCATTCTGTGACATCTTAGAATTTCAAATTATAATATACTAAAAAACGAATAAAACTGTTAATAACGTTATTACCATTCGTAGCATTTCCTGGATACCGGCTAAGTCTGGACCATTTTCATTTTCGTTAGCTGTCTTATCTCCAAGTGCGCCATTTAATCGTAACAGGAATTCATCATCATCTGAAATTAATTGATCAATTTCAACAATAATGACTTGGAACTAGTGTTGCCCAAAATCGGTCTTGGTCTTGTTCTTGCATTTTTGCAAGACCAAGACCAAGAACAAGACCGCCTAATTTTAGCAAGACCAAGACTGACCGTGCAAGATTTGAGCAAGAACAAGACTAAGCCTGCGAGACTCTTGCGTCTTGCAGTTAGGAATGAGTGTCGTTTCAGGGAGTATAGGAGTTCGGGTATACGCTTAGGGACTCTATGAGACGCAAAAAATATATAAAAAAATTTGGAAAATTGGACTTATGCGCATTACGTACAATACCATAAACTTACATATTGGATGAAAATATCCATTAAAACGAAAAAACAGTGCATCCCTAGACTAAGGTAGGCTGAGAGTTTTGGCGGGAACTTGGCCGTAGACGGATTGTCGTTCCTGTTTTGTCGCTTGAATAATGGTTTGAAGTGGATTTTGATTCGTAAAAGTGATGCAATTATGTGAATTAAGTGTCCGCGCGTGTGAACTATTAGAGAAAACGACGAAACAAGTGCTTTGATGTCGATATAAACCTCAAGTTCTTTTGATCGCTTGGGCGTCTTATGAACTTCAGTGGCTGTCGTCATCAACTTTCCGCTAGGTTGAGCTGTCGTCAAAATCTCCCAAGGGCTTCGCAATGTGACGCATCAGCATATTGTGAAGAAAAAGAACATAAAATGAAGATTCAAAAAGAAAGGATAGGCTCAGAAGGTCTAGAAATAGAGCCGTAAAGCCAGTTAATAAAGAATGGGTAGGCTGAGCTGTCATTGATTGTTATTTTTGCATTTATTTACTACTAATTTAAATATGAAAAGAAGTAAATTATGGTCTCATTTCAAAAAAGAAGGAGACGGTAATGTCATTTGCACTATTTGTAACAAACGAGTTAAAACATCTGGAAATACAAGCAATCTAGCATCATATATGAAACACAAACATCCAGAAGATTGTGATGTGGAAGATAAATCCTTGGATAAATCACAACAGTATGTCGTTATTTTCTTAGTTAATAAACAAAAAATACTACGAATATTCAATTTAATATAATTTAGGTTATATTTGATGGAAATATTTAAAACAAATTTTTAGGTTATGATTTGGTTTATCTTTAGTATTGTGTGGACTATCGACGATTGAATATATCAATATCGGTATAAACGGATACATAACACGAATATATAAGCGGATATATTTTTTTTTGACAAAATATACCTCAGCATGCAAATGGTTGTATAAGACCAAAACAATTATATAATTTAGTCTTGCAAAGAAAAAATAAGTATCGTTGATTTTTTTCTTTTTTAGTAAGTTGACTGAATGTGGTGGTACTTCTTCGTTTGTCTAGAAGTGCTGGAGTCAGCGTTAATCTTCAAACATCGGACAAAAGTGCTAAACCCCCCTGAAACGTCAGTTGATACTGTTGGAAGCTTTTTGTTCGTCTGCTGTGATTGTGGTCCCTACAACTAAGTCCGCTACTCCTAATACATCCGCAAACATTCCGAAAATAAAACAGGCTTTTGAAAATGTGTATCAACATTCTAAAGGTGGTGCAAAATACGAACGGATAACAGATGCTATTGCGTATTTTATTGCTGTTGATAATAGGCCGTTTATGCGGTTGAAGGAAAAGGTTTTCGACATTTGATTAAGGAACTAGCCCCTTTGTATAAAGTGCCTTGTCGGGAAACAATTAAAGCAAAGATTGATAAAAAGTATGACACATTATCAAAAATTGTGGCGGATAAATTGAAAAATCTGCATTACTTTAGTTTGGCTACAGACATTTGGACATAGACATTGACTAACACTGGTTATCTGGGACTTACGGTCCATTTTTTGCAACAGAATGAATTACAATCTATGACTATTGGGGTTTTCGAATTAGAAGAAAGACATACTGGCGAGTACATTGACAACAATTGACAGGAATATTAAGAAGTTGGAATATAGATACTGAAAAAGTTATGGCTTTCATTACAGATTCCGGCGCAAATATGATTAAAGCTATAAGAGAGACGTTTGGGGCACACAAACATATCCCATGTTTTGCTCACATGATAAATAGAGTTGCTGAAGAGGCCACAAGAAAAACTTCCGGACTGAGTGATATAATAGAGCTTGTTAGGAATATAGTAAAATATATAAAAAAGAGACAAACAATGGCATTGGAATTAAAAAGAAAGCAAATAGAAAATAAAATACCCGATGGAAAAGCTCTTAAAGTGATACTTGATGTAAAAACGAGATGGAATTCCTTGTACTACATGCTTGAACGATTTTTGGATTTGGCGCCATATATAAGTGACATAGTTTTTTGTAAAATAGATGTACCTTCAATGTTGACAGCAGTTCAGCTCAACACTATAAAAGATGTTGCTTATGTTATGCGTTCACCGGAAACTATGACAAGAGAGGCTTCTGCCGAACGTTACGTCACAATTTCTAAAATTGTACCCATGATGAGTTGTGCAATTGACCAATACAAGGAATTGGGAGTGACTTCGACTATTGCTGACGAATTAAAGAGAAATATTACGCTGGAAATAGAAAAGCGTTTCGCCTATCTTGAATACTCGTTCCTTGTAATAAACAAAATGTAACAGTTCAACAACAAAACAAAAACGTAACAAAGTCTAACAACAAACAATAATTATGTACAGTAAGTAGATTTACTTAAAACCAGGAATGTTATCACAACGCAGAGCGAGGGACGACTGCTCGACGGCACAAGCGCACACTGCACCCTTTTTTACCTGGAGACAGCCGTTATTCTGTCTCGCTCGCACTGTTGTGCACAGCGTTTTTTACCTGCTCACACAAAGGATGCTATTGTGCTTGCTTACGATTCCTTGAATTATTGAAGATTTTTATCTTACTCACTGGAATGGGTGTTTAGTTATCTAATATCGGGGTAGAGGCACTTTGAACAGTTACATTCAAATTATCATAGCTCCTAAACTATCTAACTCAGAGTTAAGATTTAAATGTGCATTTATAGCAAATATCCTGTATTATAACAAAAACAAGTAAAAAAAATTGGTTAACACGATGGTTTTTTTAAAGCTAAGAATCTGAAAAACAACATCAATTTGTTGTCTAATTTATTTTTTCAAAAATGTTTTTTACTAATACTGAAAAATTAAAAAATAATATTTTGAATCTAGATTTATTGTCTACACTATTAACTAACATTTGAGACCAATTTTGTTTTTGAAAGTCTTCTACTTGGGTAGATATTGTTAAATTAATACAAGCATCTATGCTTCGCCAACAATTTTTTTTAAAGTGCTGCCATTTTTTTATTGATGGCGAAAAGAAATCATTGATCCCTGATTTGTCGATAAAATTAATTGTATTTTAACCCCTTAAAGTATCGGACATCGGAAACCGGACAACCTGTATATCGATATCAATATATCGATATTTTTAAAAACTGCATCGCTAACTACATTTAACACTGAATGCCGCCACAGAGTACATGTTTCAAAGAATAAAATAAGTTTCTGGGTGCTCAGAATGGACACGAATACATTATGCTGATCTCCCAAGGAATATTGTAATTAGATAATGGTAAGGATAGGTAGATACCATAATAATTTATTCTAGTAAGTAATTATTATAATATTAACTATATGGGTTTATAATAATTATTTACAATTATTATTATTACCTAATAGATAAACATGTTCAATAAGTTCACTGCAAATCTCGATTTTTGGAAGTGTGTGTTTTTGAACACAAAGTGTTCGAATATGTCGTCACCCATTTGATAAATATTGTAGACACTTTTAACACACTTGAAACGTGTAAAAAATTTGTACAATGCTAATCAAATAATATAAAAAGTGTGCATATTAAATAAAAAGCGTAAAATAAGATCTGTGTACTTTTTAGGAGCCCGAGTATCTCTTAGAGAACCGTTTAAAGAAATTAATTGCATCGAATTGATGTAAATAATAGCGATTTGCACAATTTTAATAGTAGAAATAAAAATAAAATCACAATACCTGCTTTCCGGTTACACAAAGTATACAATGCGTTCTTTTATAATAAGATTCCAAAAGAAATGTTAAATCTTTCACCTTTTCAATTTAAGTCAGACAAAAATGCTTGGAACTGACCTCTCGTACTACACAGGACTAACTAGAAATTTCTAAACCGATTTTGTATTTGACATTTTAAGTTTGACTTATTGTTTTACATAATTATAGAACTATTGTAAAAATATTTTGAAAAGAGCAACTACTGAGTTTCTTACTTTCTTCCAAGATTCTTCTGAGTAGAATCAGAATCCCTTGACATGGAAAAGAAAAAATTGGGGAAAACAGTGATTATATGACTATTCAAAAGTGTATTTTTAATACCTACTTGAATAAAACATATTTGAATTTTGAATTTCAAAAGAGTGAAGGCAAATTTAATTTAATTAACGTAGATTAATTCAATCACAAGAACATAATATACACAATTTTATTTACATATTTACATTTCATTTTTACGTAGGCACACTATACCTATCTGGCAACGCATCTACTTTATTAATCTTCTGAAGAATCATTAATTTTATCAAAGGATGCCAAACTTTCCTTTGTCGGTCTTTCGGCGTGTACTTACAAATAGTAGTATTTATTTTAATTCCAGTCATTCCCAATTGAGCTTTGCTTCGAGTCTAATGTATTAATTGTTTTTACTCTAATCCTTGTTGTTCTCGGAGTGATAAGTTTACAATTTGACATGAGTGACGAAGAGTCGAATAGTTCTAGTCGGAGTAGTGAGAGTTGGAGTTATAGATCTAAAAGACCTAAAAGTAAATTTGATGAGTTTTTCGACATAATTCATGCATCCCAAATTGCTTTGTGTAAATTATGCCAACATAAAAAGGTTGAAATAAAAATGAAAAACTATCTTTCCACAAAAAGGAATCACAAATATTTCTTCCTGAAAAACCAAAATTAAGTGGAGATATCACAAGCTTTTTTAATAACCACCGGAAAAAGTGGACAGGTAAAAAATATACTTATCACACAATTACATAACACATATATTATGTAACTAGCGGCCGCCTGCGACTTCGTTCGCGTACTATATCTGATTTCCTATGAGATTTTGAAATTTTCTCGCTGCAAAAGTCTTACCTAAGTATAAAGAGGCTATATAGGTAAAGCTTAACTATGCAAGTATTTATTATTTAAAACACTTCATATCTATACTTTAAAAATATAGGACTTGCATGTAACCATTTTACCCCAATTTCACCCCTTCGGGCCCCCCCAAAAGGTTTTTTTTTTTTTGCGGATGGAAAATCATCTATTGACCCCTTTCGCTCTGGGTGGAGCGTAAGGGAGTGTCAGACTTTTACTGACTAAAAACCATCCGTGTTCCTTCAGTGCCCTTACGTTCCGGAGCCGCGGTATCTCTTTCGAATAGCCCGCAACCCCGGCAGGCGTCGGCCCTTGCGGGCCCCATCACGCTGCTGACAGCTCTTTGAGGCGCGCGTGGAACAAAACGAGCCGTCGACACGGCCTGTCGTCGTTAGACGGACGGACGACGAGCTACCCATTGCTCGCCGTCCACAGGCCCGCGCCTACGGTGGCCGGGGGCCACGACGTAGCCCCCGACGCCCGGGGCGTCTCCCGCGGCGGCCGGGGAGGAAAGCTGCTGCTCTTTCCTTCTCCCGCTCCGCCACCTCCTTCGCTAGCATCACTGCTTCGCAGAAGGTGGTGACGGCATCCCATTCCGCGTCGCTCCGGACCATGGCTTCGACCAGGGCCGGACGCGAGAGGTCGCCGCCGCCTATCGCCGCTACGAGGACACGGCGGTGCTCCGCCCAAGCAGGGCACACCTCCACGGTGTGTTCCACCGTGTCCTCCGGTCCATCCTCGCAGTGGGAGCACCCGGGCGTTTCCTCCCGCCCGATTCGGTGCAGGAACCTCCCGAACACACCGTGTCCGGTGAGGACCTGAGTCAGGCGGAAGGTGAGGATGCCGTGGCGTCTCTCAAGCCACTCCTCAAAGAGGGGTCTTATCGCCGCTGTAGTGGCGTGCCCAGCACGGGGTTGCGACAGTCGCTCTCTCCATGTCGCCATGAGATCGTGCCGGAAGTCTGTCCGCTGCGCGACAACTTGCCGCGGCAGCGGGGTTTCCCCCCGGCATAGTGCCTCCGCGCGCCATTCGTGCAGGCGTGCGAGGACTACCGCCTCCAGATCCCATGGCGGCAATCCGGCAAGGAGGCTCGCCGCCTCGCGGGAGATCGTGCGGTAGCCGCGAACCATTTTCACGGCGACCACCCTTTGGGGCGCGTTCAGGTGGTGGACGGCAAGCCGCGCCAAACCACGCGCCCACACCGGGGCCCCGTAAAGGGCCATGGATCGCACGATCCCCGCGTAGAGCCTCCGGCAGGAGGCGTTTGGCCCCCCAGGTTCGGCAGGAGTCGCCTGAAGGCAGCCCCGGTCCGTTCCAGTTTGGGAGCCAAACGTCGGAAGTGCTCAACGAAGTTCCATCGGCCGTCGAGGACGAGTCCTAGGTACTTCAGTGTCGACTCGACGCCGATGGATACCCCTCCTACCATTACTGAGGATCCCGGTGGTGGCCTGTTCCGAGGACCATGGAAGTGCATGGCCTCGGACTTGTGCAGAGCCACCTCGAGACCCAGTTGCCGAAATTTCACCCCCTTAGGGTTAGGATTTCGTAAAACAGCTTATTCAGGATTTTATTATAGAAAATTAAAAACTTTAACGCCGATTTTCGTGTCTCTAACTTCAAAAACGTAGGACTTTCATACAAACTTCCAACTCCCATTTCACTCCCTTAGGGATAGATTTTCTCAAAACCGTTTCTTACCTGATCTCTATGCCATAAAAGGAACCTACCTTACAAACTTCAAGTTTATACGTTTTATAGTTCCTGATATATCGTTATAGTCAGTCAGTGAGTGGTAGTTATATATATATATATATATATATATATATATATATATATATATATATATATATATATATGTATTTATAATTCACTCATATTTTCATTTGTTTTTATAATCGGCGAGACACATGATATACTGTTTTATTTCAGTCTGAAAGACAACATCACGACAGCTACAGTTGATTGGATGGTTAAAAAATATCTTCGCTTCTCATTTTTCGTTGAGGAAGCAACAAGTATATTTTCAATCAATTTGCCCAAATATGGTGTTTCCTAAAAGGTCCACACTTAGAAGGAAGGTCAAAGAACGGTTTGAAGAGCTTCAATTGAATCTTAACAAACCACTACAACAATTTTCATCTAAAATGTCATTTACCATTGATGGATGGACGTCAATTACTGGTAGGAGTTACTACGGGGTCACTATTCATTATATAGACAACGAATGGAAGTATCGATCTGTAGTCCTTGATTTTATACCATCACGCGGTCGACATACTGGGGAAGATATTGCAACGATTTTCCACGAATATTTATTGGAATATGACATAATTGATAAAATACAGGGTATCACGGTCGACAACGCAACTGCAAATACCAAATTTATGCATGAATTGGACAAACAGCTGCCACACTTTGATTCAGACTATCAACATTTCCGGTGCTTTGCTCACATTTTG